CCAAAAACCCACCTTCTGGCTCCCAAGCAACTCAGCCCCCCTTGTTCTTCAACAAACTTGTTTCCAGAAAATCAGTCCTGATATCTCTGATGCTTCCCTACTCCCATGGCCCACCAGCAGAGCAACACGGCTTCTCAGTTCTAAGCTGCCATCAGAGAGTTGGTCTTCCTCTTCGGCCGTGGCTGGGCAGACCATTAACTCACTTGGCCCTTTAGTGTTCTTTGACGTGTGTGTGTGTTTATGGCTTTATTCATGCACCCCGGGCATCCTGGGCTGCCCTCCCACTGTCGACAAATTCCTGTTCATGCAATGAACTTCAGGACTTTAATCACACACCAAAAAATCATCAACCAGTCTAACTTCTCCACCAACAACATCACTGATAACCATTCATCTGGCTTCTGCTGAAACATTTCCAGAGAACGGAAGTTTTTAAAAGTGGGACACAGCATATCAAGACAGCTATAACCATGGAGAGTTATTTCTTGCCAGCAATAGATACTCAACAACTTTTGAATTTAATATAGAGCTGGAATCTGGGTGCACATGATCCTTCCTTTTGCCTTCCCCTGCTTTCTGAAATGATAGCAAGTACATTTATTCATGTTCCCACTGGGAGAATTCGGAAATCTGTGGGTCTCCTATCAAGACCCCTTTGAGCCTTTTTTACTTCTGGGATAAACATCTCCCATATCTTTAGTTGTCCTTTGTTTACAAACATTCCCATTTCTCCTCGCTTTCTGGTTCCTCCTTCTTGAGGTGTCCTGGTGTTTTCTAAAATGCCATCCTCAGGCATGAGAAACACTCTATTAGACATAAATTGGCCAGTAGGAGGTACATTGGACTGATTGTTCTCTTAATATATGGCCTCTTTACTTCTCCAGAGGCAATTTGTGATTAGATTAATTTTTGACATCTGCGGCCTCTGATTTATTCTGAACGAATTGCTATCAAAAACCTCTGGATCTCTCATTCAAAATCTACTTCTTAGCTAAACGTGTCTATCCTTCACTTGGGCCCTTGTTTGAATCTAATTGTAGGACATTACATTTATTCCACTTTAAGTATTTCTATTTTTGCTAATCCTGTTCTTTTTGCCACTTAACAATTTCCACTCTTACTTGTTTACTCTGCTATTACTTACCCTCAGTTCTGCATCATTATTAAATTTGACAAACACCTTCAGATACCTACTCTGTGTCCTTGACTTAATATGCAAAGGCTGGATTTCTAGAGACTAAGGAACCAACGTCAGGAAATAACTCTTTAAAGTATTAGGATTTCTGGGGCTCCTGGGTGGCTCAGTGGGTTAAAGCCTCTGCCTTCGGCTTGGGTCATGATCCCAGGGTCCTGGGATCGAGCCCTGCATCGGGCTCTCTGCTCAGCAGGGAGCCTGCTTCCTCCTCTCTCTGCCTGCCTCTCTGCCTACTTGTGATCTCTGTCAAATAAATAAATAAAAATCTTAAAAAAAATAAAATAAAATATTAGGATTTCTGTCTCTTTTGGAACACACATGCATAGGGATCATCTGTTAATTTTAAGAACACAGATTACAACTGCACAGCTTGATAAACTGTCTCAAAATGTACTCACCATGTAATCACCACCAAATCAAGAAAAAGAACTTGACCAGCAATCCAGACACATCAGACAATAATACCCTGTTCCCCAAAATAAACACAACCCTAATTTCTACCACCATATTAATTTTGCCTCTTTCTGAGCATCATATAAAAGAAATCCTTGATCATAATCCCAGGGGTCTGGGACTGAGCCTTGCATCAGGCTCCCTGCTCAGCCCCTCCCCCTGCTCCTTCTCCCTCTCCACCCCCTCTCAAATAAATAAATAAAATCTTAAAAAGAAAAAAAAGAAATCCTTGGATATACTCTTTTATGTCTAGCTTGCTTTTTTTCCTCTCTGTGTTCTGTCAAATGATTTTACCACGATTAATTAATCCATTATAGTGGTTACAGTTTTAAGCTAATAAAAATAGTGCTGCTGTGTACATTCTTGATATCTTCTGGTGCTCAGTGTATGCATTTCTGCGGGGAAGTTTCTAGAATATCTGCATATTCAGCTTTAGAAGACAATCCCTAATTATTTTCTAAAGGAGTGTCATCAATTTATTGTCCACAAATTGGATTCAAGGGTTTGTTTTCTTCTGTCTTATGGTCACCACTTGGTGTTGTCTGTCTTCATGATGTTAACATCCTTATAACCCCTGAGAGACAGTGGCATCTCATTGTGGTACGCAAATTAGAGTTTCTTGATATTGATGATTAATAGCCCTTTGGACATTCTCTTTTGTGAAGTGTCAATGGAAGATATTTCCCATTTAAAAAAAAATGGGTTGTCTTTCTTTTCCTTATTGATGTATAGAAATATATATATTTATTTGTGGGATATATATATATAGTATAAATGGGTCTTTTCACTCTTTGGTTTGCCTTTTTACATTTTTTGTAATGTCTTTGTAACATACAAAATCACAGGTTAGAATGTCAATATCTAAATGTCAAGTCCACCTGGATACCCTATCAATGTACAAATGAAAATCTAAGTTAAAAAATTGGATTTAAAATAGTAGAAAAGCAGGATACCTGGCTAGCTCAGTCAGTCAAGCAACTGCCTCTGGACTATATCTAATGTTTTTAAAAGATTTCTTTATTTATTTGAGAGAGAGAGAGTATCAGAGGGGAGAGGGAGAGACAGACTCTGAAGTAGACTCCATGCTGAACTTGGAGACCAACATGGGTCTCGTTCTCACAACCCTGAGATCATGGGCTGAGGCAAAACCAAGAGTCAGATGCTTAGCCAATGGAGCCACCCTGGCACCCCTGACTATATCTCATTTTTAAGTATTTTTCATTTATATGTATTTCTTGTTTGTTTCCTCCAAAAACTGTATTCCAACTCCAGGGTCATACAGAGTAGCCCCAAGTAGCTGTTTTACTTTATCTCTCCTATTAGGATTTACCATCTATGTGGAATTTATTTTTTTTAATATATTGTGAAGTAGAGATGCACATTTATTTTTATTTTCTACCTTTTTTACATGGGACCGTAAGTCTCCTAAGACCACCTTTTCCCCGATGTATCAGGAGTATCAAATTTGTCATAAATCAAGTGACTATATATGAGAGTCCCTTTCTGGAATATCTGTTTTCCTCCATTGATTGATTCATGTATTGTTTTATCAATAATACTGTGTATGAAATACTGTAACCTCAAAACAAGTTTTGATATCTCTACATAATTTGTCCAGTTTTCTCATTCTTTGTCAAGACTGGCTCGGTCTTCTTGGTTCCTTGCATTTTCAGTTTGGTTTGAAATCAGCTTGTAAGTTTCCAGAAGGTAAAAAAACGACAAAACACCCTCTGTGGGTTTTGACTGAAATTGCATTGAACCCAGGTAGGTAAATTTGCTAAGAATTGCAAATTTTCATTTTTCTCAATAATGTGTCTTACACATCTTTAAAGTTATGAGATCAATGCTTTCTGCTATTTTTAAAAAGATTTTACTTATCTGTCAGAGAGAGGGAGAGTGAGTGCACATGCAGGGGGAGCGGCAGACAGAGGGAGACGACTCCCCATGTGGCAGGGAGCCTGATGTGGGGCTTATTTCCAGGACCCCAGGATCATGACCTGAGCCAAAGGCAGATGCTTAAGTGACTGAGCCACCCAGCCATCCCACTTTCCAGCTATTTTAAATCCCATTTTTAAATTTAGGCTTTTATTTGTACATTGATAGGATATATAAGTGGACTTGACTTTTAGATATTGACATTCTAACCTGTGATTTCATATGTACATACAGATTTTTGATATTCTACGTTTTACAGTCTTTAAGAAAATAAAGACATTGCTATTTACACCTTTCAAATCTTATGCCTTTTATTTTTTCTCTTGCATTTATTTTTTCTCTTTTCTCAATTGTATCACCAAATGCCATTTGTAGCACCAGCTCTTTTTCTGATTTCAGGGAGGAAACATAATATTTAATTAAATTATACTCCATATATAGGAACCTCCCTGTGCCTGCCCACTATTATTTCAGAATCATTATGGACAAGTGACTGCTGTGTCCATCCTCCTCCTCCTCTTTGAAACATAAGTGTTTATTGGGAATAATGTTTCTTCATTCCACCATTGTGTGTAGGTGGTTGGAAGGCAGGTGACTGCCTTTTCAGTTCATGGATCAGGAGGAGGCACATATGGGGTCTGGAAACCATCATGGGAGTTTGGACTGAGGGTCTGATACTGTGACAGGATGGGTGTTCAGGGAGGCTTCCTTGGGGGAAGAGATGAGTGTATTTTACATGAGGAAGGAAGGGAAGTAAATATTTAGATTAAGAACACAGCTTATTGTAGCAGTTAGTTTTTGCTGGATATCAAACAACCCCCAAACTCAGTGGCTTAAGCAGAAACTACACATTATTTCCAGTGAGACTATGTTAGAATCATCCAGGTAAGCTGGGTGGTTCTTTGGGTCTGAGCCAGATGGATTCATTCACAGGTCTAGTGGCTGGCTGTACCAATACAACCAACTCTTACCAAGATCACCAGTGATCCTCATGCAACCGGTTCTGCTAAGTAAGCAGTATTTGTCTGAGAAAGTTGACACTTCAAACTATTAAGAAACCAATAGACTTGGGGCGCCTGGGTGGCTCCTTGGTTAACTTTCTGCCTTTGGCTCAGGTCTTGATCTGAGGGTCCTGGGATTGAATACGGCATCCGGCTTCCTGCTCAGCGGGGAGCCTGTTTCTCCCTTGCCCTCTTCCCCTCCTCCCTGCCTATGTTCTTTCTCTCTTCCTTTCTTTCTCTCTCTCTCTCAAATAAATAAATAAAATCTTTAAAAAAAGAAGAAGAAGAAGAGGAAGAAGAAGAAGAAGAAGAAGAAGAAGAAGAAGAAGCAGAAGCAGCAGCAGCAGCAGCAGCAGCAGCAGCCAATAGACCTGACCTGGGTTTTGTTTGTTTTCTCCTTTGTTTGGCCATTGTAGGTCTTCTGTGATTTCCATGGCCACTCTCAAAAGAAGAATGTATTCCTTTATGGCTGTAGCATCAAGGAGACCTTGTGGCAAGCAGAGTCTAGTGTGGGCACATCGAATCTCTTGGAAGACATCGGCTACAGGGTAAGCCCTGGGGACAATGACAAAAGACACTTTATGTCCATATTCTTGCCTTTGAGACACATGCCCCACCCATTTTTTCCCCCTAAATAACCATTTTCATTATTTCGACTGTAGGATTATAATACAAACAGGTTGGAGGCGTGTACAACCTCTCTCTATTTTTGATGAATAATAGCTTTCCTACCTGGTTGCTGTGTTTTGTTTTCTAGATGATATGATGTAGTGCAAAGGGCATAAAAATTGGAGACAGGGAGCCTCTGTTTAATGCCTGGATTTACAATTATTAACTGTGCATCTAGGAGTCATTACTAATGCCACCTCTCTGAACCACCATTCGTCCCCTGTGAAATGAGGAGAGCACAAATACTGCTTCTGTTTCATGTTTATGAGAGCAACAAAATGATACTGTATATGAAAGGATCTTAAATAACTAGGAAGGGTTGAAAGAAAATCAGACCCTCTGCACCCCTCTGTGTGAGCATGCTCTGAAAAGCAGAGCAGTGATCCACTGAAGCTAATTCTGTTTTTTCTGGGTCCCAGTGGTTAGAGCTCCATGATTCCCCCACTGAACCAATGGGGAAGATAAGGAGGGGTAAAGAAGGAGGGACTTCTTACTGTTAGGATAAAGGGAAGAGACGTTGATGAGGCAACATTGTCCAAACACAAAATAAAAGCTGGCCTTTATTTCAAATGTATATAGAAAATGAAGAAAAATTACTGAGTTGGAAAACCCTCCAGTTCTCCTGCGTCTTTCTCCTTTACTTTCACACAGAACTTCCGACACTTGCCACCAGATCTGTGGGGGTTTTACCCCACCAGGGACTTCTGAGACACCAGCTGGGTGTCCTACAATGTAACTCAATCCTGATGCTATCCACCTAGAGACAGTAGCGGATCCCACAGCTTAAGGATTCAGTCCCACAAGACTGCCTCCTCCTTCAGGTGCCTGTCACCAGTAGTCAGGTCCCAGGTTCCCCATGACTTCTGTCTGACTTAGCTCTCAGTTGGAGGGTCCCATGACCTCCACTCCTGCCGTGGATTCAGTAATTTGCTGGAGTGGCTCACAGAGCTCAGGGAAGCACTTACTGACCGTTTCCTGTTTATTAAAGGATATGATAAAGGATGCAGGTGAGCAGCCAGATAAGAAACATAAGGGCAGGGACTGGCAGGGTCCCAGTATAAGAGCTTCTGTCCTGTGGGGTCGGGGGTTGGTATCATCCTCCGGGCATGTGGATGTGCTCACCAACTTAGAAGCTTTCCAAATGCCATTTATTGGGATTTTATGGAGGCTTCTTCATGGAGCTGTGGTCAGTTATTAACTTGTCTCCGGCTCCTCTTCCCACTCCCATCCCCAGTGGGGATAGTCTGATCCAGGAGCCCTCCCAGAATCACCTCATTATAACAAAAGATGCTCCAAATGCTCTTATCACTTAGGAATTTACAAGGGTTTTAGGAGCCCCATGTCAGGGACTAGGGATGAAGGACAAATACATATTTCCTACTATAAATCCCAATATCACAATTATCATGGTACCTACATCTTCCAAGTTCTTTATTATTCTGGGTATATGAATTTACTGGGTATACAATAGCTTCATTCCCTGGGTTAATGAGTATAAAAGAGATAAATATCCACCAAACTGCTATTTCACCTAGAAATACCTCCCCTGCTCCCTCAGTCTTTCTTCACTCTCTCCTTCATGTCCTCCAGAAACGGGACTCCTGGTGATCAGTAGAGGGTCCCTCAAGGTAATTAGAGCAGAACCAACAAGTTATCTTCAATGTCCTGTTTACTCTAAGCCCCAACCACAGTCATGGGGATTTTGATACAGAATTAGAATCTGAAAGAGAAGAAGGAAGGAAGAAAGGAAGGAAACCAACGAAGGAAGTAAAGGAAGGAAGGATGGAAAGAGGGAGGAAGACAGGAAGGGAAGAGAGAGGGAGAGAGGGATGTAGGAAGGAAGCAAGGAATTGCTTTCCTGCAAGCAAGGAATTCTTGCACTGAAAAGTACCACAACCAAAGTGAAAGTTTCCCTAGATAGGATCATGAGCAGATCTACAATGGCAGGAGAATCAGTCATTAAACTTGAAGGTCAATCCAAAATTACTAATCTTAAATAATAGAGAAACAAATGTTGAAAAAAAGTCAACAGCCTTAGAGACCTAGGATAGCATCCAGTGTAATACAGAATAGAATAATTAATCAGAAAAGTATAATGAATGTAAGTGAATGTTTATAACCCCAAAATATATAAGCGGAAATTGGCAGAATTGAAGGAAGAAATTTAAAAATTCAGTAATAGTAGTTGGTTATTTTAATACTCCTCTCAGTAAGCAATAGAACAACCAAACAGAAAATTAGTAACTAGAGAAGACATGACCTGATTGATACATATGATTGATATATATGTAACAATTCTCAAAACAGAAGAATATACATTGTTTTTGAGTCCACATCAGAATTATCCTAGGTAGACCTTATACTAGACCATACAAGTATGTTCATTTGCCATGACAGAATTAAATTATAGATCAACTTTTGTAAGATTCTGGGAGATGTCTGAATATTTGGAAATTAAACAGCGTACTCAAAAATAACTCCTGGGCCAAAGAAGAAATCAGATGGAAATTAGAAAATGTCCTAAAATGAATAAAAGTAAAAATACAATATATCAAAATGTATGGTGTATAGTTAAAATAGTGCTTAGAGAAAAGTTGTAGCTTTGAATGCTTCTATTAGAAAGGTGGAAAGATCTAGGGCACCTTGGTGGCGCAGATAGTTAAGTGTCTGCCTTCGGCTCAGGTCATGATCCCAGGTCCTGGGATCGAGTCCCATGTCGGGCTCCTGGCTCAGTGGGGAGTCTCTCTCTCCCTCTCCCTCTGCCTCTCCCCCAATAAAGAGAGATAAACTACTGGTATATACAAAAACATAAACTTAAAAATAAGTCAGAGGCAGACAAAAAAATGTAGGGTTCGATTTACGTGACATTTCCAAAAAAGTCAAAAATTACAGAGTAAAGAAGCAGATCAGGGGTTGCTTTGGGCAGGATTGACTGGAGTGAGCATAAAAGACAAGTTTTTATGGTGACAAAAGTGTTCAAAAACTGGATTATTGATAATGGCTGCAAAACTCTATACATTTCCTAAAAATCATTGCATTGTTCACGTGCCTAAAAGTAAACATTCATTGATTATGTACCGTGTGCCCGGCACTGTGCTAGATATTTATGTAATGAAGCTGAGCAGAGCAAGGATTTCTAAGAAATAACAGTTGGGGAAAGAGGTAGAATATCAGAAACTTAAAAGGACAGAAAAATACGTTCAAGAATGGAAATATTAGGAGGTAATACAGAGAAGACTGATTAACTCTCTATTGGTGCAGAGTTGAGTAGATGATCCCAATGGACAGATGTCTGAGGGGCAGATAGGAGCGGTGTTAGGACGTTCCCTGAAAAAAAAAAAAATTATGAATGATTTTTAACTAAGTTTGATTTTAAGAGAAATCTGAAGAAATGGAGTGACGTGAATTTTTTGATAATTAAAACTTGAGCCTTAAAAAATTTTAACCGCTAGTTGCGGATCAGAGTGGATTGAGGGGAGTTGTTCAGCACCTCTGCCTGGGAAGCGTCTCTTGTTCGTGATCTTTCCCAGCGTTGATCTTTCTCCTAAGCTTCCAGTTGGGAACATCTGCAAGGAGACCACTGGGGCACCCCGCGTGCACTCTTTTAATCTTCCCAACTACTGTGTATTCTCGAATAGGGTATGCTTAAGCAGTGTTTATGGAGTGAGTAGGGACTTTGAATAGCACTGCATTTGACACGTGAGGGAGGGGAGGTGCAGAGATGAGCTGAAATGTCTAACAGTCCCACAGGTAGCAAGAGCTGGGATGGGGACCCAGGTGACTCAACACCAGGTCTCACCTCCCGTGCTGACCTCAGTGGTCTTCTAGAGCATGTGCTCAGTGAGACAGAAGCTAAACTGAGAGTCTGCTGCTCTGTAGTTCAGGATGAAAGAGGGGGTCAAAACGGGAAGGAATCCTCCTTGGGTGCTTAGTAAACAGGAGATTATCTGAGGAGAAGGGAAATCTACAAAGCAAAGAGAGGTTTTCAGAGCTGTTTTTTCCATCTTGGAAGTTTGACATTTTGAGCAGAGCGACTCCCCTCTCTTCTAAACCTTCACCCATCAGCAAAGTCCGCTCTTAAGAGCACAATAAACACTGCACATTTACTGAAGGTGCCCATGGCTTTGCCCCCTCGCTCAAGGTTGGGTCTAGTCCTACCCCTCCCCCTTCGATGATGACAAAAATGAGGGTTAGCAGAGTTAAACGACTGCTCCAACTCAAACCGTGGAGCGTGAACCCAGATTTCATCCTTTTGACCCCTAGTCCCAGCCAGGTCCTTGCCCCATGCTTAATTCAGAGGAGAGAGAAGACATTTGAGTTCTGTAGGGTTGACCTCAGGGAACTGGAGCCTCAGAGATGGCCTCTCCCTGAAAATGAGCCCTGAGCTGGGAGCTGTCTGGGGAGTTCATAGTCAGCACATCTTTGAGAGTTATATTTTCTGTGAATTTGGGAAACCAGACAGGGCTTGGAAGAGTTCGCAGAAAGCAGATGAATTGAAATGCAACTCGGGCTTCTACGGTATGCCTCAAAACCGGAATTAATGAATCAGGATCCTCCCCCCCCCCCCCCCCCCCCCCCCCCGAGGCTGCTGTTGACCCAGATGCTCCTGGAAAGATGGGAGTCAGTGTCTATGGGGATGCAGCTGACTCTCAGCGCTGCTTCATGTCTAGTCTTTTGATCCCTGCTGGGTCTGTGTTGAGACCACACTGAAGGCCACCTCCTGGGCCACGCCCTGTGTGTCCATTCTGTCATTCATTCCTTATATCCCTTTACACGTCTATGGGATTATAATACTTACTGAAGAAGTAGTTCTTGGCAGTGTTTGACTAAGCTCATGTGATCTATGTCGGAACATCTGGGTTGATATTCTGGATTTGTCCTTACTATCTCTGTGACCATTGAAAATAGACTTGACGGGTCTCTATATTATGAGATAATAACAGAACTTACTCTGAAGACTTGTGATGATTAAAAGAGCTAATGCATGTAAAATACATAGTAAGTGTTCAGTGAAAAGGTATGTATTATAATTTTCAAGCTTTGGAAACCCAGATTAAGTTTAAGGGCACAGAGCAAGCAGGAGGGAAAGAGTTGAGCATCCGAGTCTTTTCCCACCCAAGATGGGAAATCCCTGGGAGAACTGAAACAAGGCCTCAGTGGGTCAGTTCATACACAGAGTTCATCTACGCCTCGTTCATTTACAAAACAGAGCAAGACAATCTCCAGCTGTTAGAGCTGTCATTATCTTCCTTTCTCGCTCTGCCATAGATCAATTTGTGTGAAATCAAGAGATATAGAATCAGGAGTTGACTATCCATGCTGTAGTAGTTTTGGAATCCATTATTTAATGAATGGATAAAGGATTGCAGTGGGTGTATAGGAGGGGTATGCCAACTGCACCTTGTAAATGAGGGGATCCCAGCTTGTAGAGCTTTCCGAGAGACACGCCGTTAAATTGAACGTGTGGTCATTTGCACAGGGGATATATGAATTAAGAAAATCAGGGTCGCTTAAGAAAGAAAGGAGAGATCATTTAAATAATGTCCAATTAGAATTTTTACAGCAAGGTAAAACATTGATAAGTTAAAACTATTTTCAAGTTTTTTAAATTACTTTAGTTGAGATATATATACACACACACACTGTTTGTGTTTCATATATATATATATATGTATGTATGTATGTATGTATGTATGTATGTATATGTTGTATTTATGTCTAAGCAGTCCCCTAAGGGTCTGGGTGAGCAGATTCTATTTATTTCAGCAGCTAATTACGGAGTGCCCTCAAGGGTTGCACATCTGTGTGTAGAGATTTTCCTGTGAAGGAGACACAGACCTGCCCTATGGAACTTCTGGACTGCAGAGAAGATAGAAAATAAACAGCTAATTACATGAACATCAATTTTACTGTAATTGTGGTGAACACTTTGAAGGAGAAAAGCGGGGAGAAGGAATCACAGGGAGAGGGGGACAAGGTTGGATAGATGAAACCAGTTATGGGGGCAATTGTGGAAACTCAACTGAGGACATTAGCAGCTCAGTTTCCTTGCTCAGATGATGCTGCAGGTCTGTAAGCTGTGTGGGAACATAAAGATCATACTAAATTATATGAATAACTGTGTTACATTACACATATATCATAGGTAATTTATAATATAATTAATACTTGTATTAATTGTTATATTAATGTAATTAAGTTATATTAAACATGGGGACAGGAAGAACCCAGGGATATTAAGAGATCTGCTCGATGTCCTAGAAATTCACAGAATTGCATTTCTTTTTTTTTAAGATTTAAAAAATTTATTTGTGAGAGAGAGAGGGGGAGAAAGAGAAAGCACAAGCAGGGGCAGTGGCAGGTAGAGACCACCCAGGCATCCCACAAAATTGCATCTCTTTAAAAATCATTTCTTAATTCATATTCTCATCCTGCTGCTCTGCCTTCTCCCCACAATTTGTCCAGAAGCCTGAAGTTTCACTGTTACAAAATGTACATAATTTTATATTATATGCTTGTGTGTGGATATTCTGTGAATAGTGAAGTAGAGAAACCTTCTTGCTAATATCACAGAAATTTGGGACTATCTAGGTCCAGTATTTCCACTAACCCAGGGACCTGATGTGCTATCATATCTTGAGTCATCATCCTTGGATGGGGGAGATCTGGTGACTAGGAGCCCCCTCTCTGTCAATTAGTGAGTGGCAAGGATCTACAGATGCTTTCTAAAATAGATTAAGTGGTCTCACATAAAACTTTTCGACTCTGGGAAATGGTGGGCTAGAAGAACCCAGAGAAGAGGGGTGCCTGGGTGGCTCAGTCAGTTAAGCATCCAGCTCTCGGTTTCAGCTCAGGTCGTGATCAGGCCCTGATCACGGGTTCTGCACTCAGCACAGAGTCTGCTGAAAATTATCAGCAGACTGATAATTCTTCTCCCTCTGCCTCTCCCTCTGCTCCTCGCCCTGCTTTCTGTTGTGTGTGCTCTCACTTTCTTAAATAAATAAATAAAATCATATATACACATATATACATATATATATGTATATATGAACCCAGAGAGGGCATACATTAGAACCCAGAGAGGGCATACATTTTTAATGATTTTATTTATTTATTTGACAGAGAGAGAGACACAGTGAGAGAGGGAATACAAGCAGGGGAGGCAGGAGAGGGAAAAGCAGGCTCCCTGCGGAGCAGGAAGCCCAATGTGGGACTTGATCCCAGGACGGTGGGACCATGATCTAGGCCGAAGGCAGATGCTTAACAACTGAGCAGTCCAGATGCCCCCAGAAAAGGCATACTTTTTAGACTTTTGTAACTGGCCCAGCCTCAGATTTATGGATCATAAGATGAGACTGGAGGGATGCCTGGGTGGCTTAGGTAAGCATCTTCCTTTGGCTGGTGTGATGATCCCAGGGTCCTGGGATCGAGCCTCATAGGTCTCCCTGCTCAGTGGGGATCCTGCTTCTCCCTCTGCCTCTGCCCCTCCCTCTGCTTGTTCTCTGTGTGTGTGTGTGTGTGTGTGTGTGTCATGAATAAAATCTTTAACAAACAAGGTGGGACTAGAAAGCTCATTTTGGCAGTCATACTCTTTCAGGAAACTTTATATGCGACCCCCAGTGGTTATTGGTGACTTGTACACCTGGGATAAATGAACAGTCCCTAGTCCGACTTAGAGCTGGGAAACCGTGAGATTGGGTGGAGTCACTCTGAATCTCAGTCCCTGTGGCATCTGTGGCTTTCCATTGAGTTCAGAGCAGTGATGCATGAGACTGAGTGTCCGTGCGACATCGGTCCACGGGGATGCCGAAACACGGACCTGAAAGACTGTGGTCTTTGGGGTTGGCCCGTGTGGCATTTGGCTCCCATGCCAGCCTCTTTGTAGTTGGATTCATGCTATTTCTTTGTTGCTTTTCTAAGTCTCAATTTCCTCATTTAAGAGCAAAAAGCGACAAACCCTTGGCGTCTCTTTCTTCGGGATGATGTAAGAGTTGCAACTGCATATATTAAGTGATTGATAGACTGAGATGAATAATAAATGTTGAGATGCTAATTTTTATGATGCTCTTCCCCAACTCATCATGGCTTTATTTTTTTATCGTAGACTCTTCCCAAAATCCTTGATAAGCTCGCCCCAGCATTCACGATGAGTAGCTGCAGCTTCCTCGTGGAGAAATCCCGAGCCTCCACGGCCCGGGTGGTGGTGTGGAGAGAGATGGGGGTGTCCAAAAGCTACACCATGGAGAGCAGCTACTGTGGTTGCAACCAGGGACCCTATCAGGTATGTGAGACTGGCATCCGTATGCTTTCCGGCAGCAATATACCGTAAGGGCGGGGAGAGGCTGTCAAAGACCACTCATTTCTTCCTTCTCACCTGGGAGTGGAAGAAGTCTCCAGGTAGTCTGGCCCAGCGACCTGATCTTGCAGAACTAGCTCAACGATTGCCTTCCCTGGTAGCCCTGTCTGTGTTGATCCTGCCAGTAATTTGTCTGTGCCTGCTGATTTGCTTTCTCAATCATCTGCCCTTGCCAGCAAGTCACAGGGATCCTCCCTCAGACATGTGTCCCCAGATTCCCTGCAACCTCTGCCTGGCCCTGTTTGATGCACAGGGCTCCCTTGTTACCCCCTGCACCAGTCAGCCAAGCTCCCCTTGCATCACCAAGGCCGTGGTTTGGTGCCTAGAGAGTGAGCTTTCCATCCAGGTATTTTATGCCTCTAGCCTCCGTGCTTATCTAAATCAGCAGCTCGCTATTACCCTGCTGTCATCAGAGTGCACAGAAGTGACTACCTGACATGCGTCTCCCCAAAATGAGTGGATCTGGGACTCAGGCTCTGGTGTCAAGGGAAAGGCTCTTATAAATCACATTCTTTCTACGGCTCTATTAACTGCATGAGCAGCTGGAGAGCTGCTGTAGTGGGCAGTTTTAGCTGTTCTTCCCACTCCCCCACTAGAGGATCGTAAATAAGGGACACTGTGACAGTGCCATGGTAATAGATTCTTTTAAATTTGTTAGGCGAGCTGACAGCCTTCCATTCGACCCCAAGGATACCTGGACCTTATGAGCATTAAGGCTCATTGTGTTGGCTTTGATATTCTCCTAGAACAGCCAGAAAGCACTTGGCATCTACATGGTCCTGTGCTTGTGAAAATCTTGTTAGCTATCAAAGGGAGTATAGGGAGTGACAGTTGAGGAATATTACCTAACTTCCCACCTGGCCAAGGTTTTTTTTTTTTTTTTTTTTCTGTTACACAGGACTACTGAACCACCAGCTTTGACCTATTAATTCTGTTAAATAACCTGTTTGTTTAAGCAGTTGCTAAAAATAAATGTTGTGTTATTGAATTAATAAATTATTAGATTGAATTAGTCCACTTTACCCACATGAATGTCGATGCAGAATAAGAAGAGAGCATCGGAGGGGCATGGGGGTCAGGCACCAACAGACCTCACTTTTCCATTTATCAGCAATGCCACAAGCCACATACCGCTATGAACCTGTGTATCACATATCAGATATTGATAATCTTAAGGATTCCTTTCCTCCCTGCTGCACAAGAGTTTTGTAAAGGCCGAAAGAAAATTCAGATAGGAATGCACTTGGAGGTTATATCATCACTAATAGGTTCAGTCTCTTGGCATTCAAAACCTGTAGGATTGGGAAAAATAAGCTTGGGGTATTGTGACTCGAAGGCATTATGGATATAGACTTGTTTCCCTCTAGCTGTGTGCCTCTAAATGGATAAGGGCCAGTCACTTGTTTAAAGGACAAATGCGTGCATCATTAACAGATCTATTGGATTGGTGACTTTCATTGACCTTGTTTCTCCAAGCCCCCATTCAGACTAAGAGCTTCCGGTCAGATAAGCATCAATGCCATTCACCATAAGTCAACTAGAAACTCAAAGTCCTCTGGAGTTGTTGTTTGTAAACTAAATGACTCTTGGGTTCAGGCCCCTACCACACCCCCCCCCCAAATCTGCCATGTAACAAACACAGGGGCTGCCAGAAATGACAAAGAATGGAAGAAGCTTGCCCAGTGGGATGGCTTTCACCTGTCAGCCCAGCTTGCCCTGGGAAATTGTCCACGTGGCTTTTGCATGAGTCTTTGTAAGAAAGGATAGAGAACGAATTGGGAGAGAAAGGCGCTAATGGTGCCAGACCTGGTTTTGCTTTAACAGTCCCGTTCTCTATATGAAACACCTCTCCGAGTGGATTGTTTTTCTCTTTCCCTTTGTTTCTCGATCCTTAAAAACATTGTTGAGTCACTGAGCAGAGTCGCAGACAGTGAGTAAGAGGATGGTAAATAATTTTACATATGGGGGGGGGCACCCCAGGGGAAGGAAGGCGGCCCAGAGTTGGGTGTTTTGGTGATTTTGTTTGAGGTATATACTGAAGTCTATGAGCTATAAAGCAGCATAGAAATTTCCATCCTGAACATATTGCAAATGATTTTTGTACATTGAGAAGCTTAGTCCCAATTGAGTCCTGAGGTTATTATTCTAAGGTCATCTTTCCATTTTTTGTTCAGCATTACCATTTATCCAAAAGATGGAGGACACTTAAATACACCCATGAGGGGCATTCCTTCCTTCCTTCATAAGAATATAAATATTTTTGCAGTTTCTCTGGTTAACACAGCTTTAAAGTAGTTCCAATCATTTCTCCCCCAGCACACTAAGTACCTGATTTGTTAGTATTGAAATGAAATATCATTTCTTACAGTGACATTTTTGTTGGAACTGCATTAAAGAACATAAGCTATTGCCTTTGAATAATTATTATTAATATGATATTTTCTCTTCTATTTTCCAGTCCATAGTTGGCTAATCTTAAAAAAAACAAAACAAAACAAAACACAAAAAAACCCAACAACTCCCTTTTGTTTCTTTGGAATATGGTCTCTACTACCAGGTTATACACTTAGATCCATAATTTGTGTTTAATGTGGAAGTCCCACCCACTGAGAGATGGGCCCAAAGCTATTGAGGCTGTTGAGGGGAAAAGCCAAAAGGGAATCATCCATCCCCTTGGGGCTCATTTTTTTTTAGAGGTGCCCAGTCTACATAGATAGCCGTGTGCTTCCCACTGAGTGTTTGTGACCTGGGGTCACATCCATGGTGTGGGGGCACATATGAAGGCATGTGACTGGGCCCCATGGGCTGCTTGTGGCCTAGGAGGACAGTGTGAGTATTCCCACCCAAGCAGGCTCTCTGTGTGCTCATTGGCAATGCGGCTGACTTGTGGGCAGAGTGGGTCTGAGAAGAAGGACAGAAGCTGGGAGACTCAGGGAGGTCTGAAGGTCTCAGCTAATATATAAAGCCCCCACCTGCACATTGCCTCCCGTGAGCCCTCCAGCAACCCATCTGCTCCATCACCGACAGAGGGGCTTTTCAGTAACCCAGACCTGTTCAAGTCACAGTATTGCCCATAATCCTTCAGGGTGTCTAGAGAAATTCTAACTCCTTGTTTTGACAGGTAAGGCCTTTTACAATCTCATTCATCATGTGAATGCTCAATACCTTATTTAGCGTAGAAGATGTGTTGAATCTGTGTGATGATTGACGAATGAATGAATGAACGAATGGACAAGTGGGTGGCGATTTCCATGCAGAGTCAGAGGAATATCCTCTCTGTCCAGAGATCACTAGAAAAAGGAGGAACTGCCATGGTCCAAATGTGATTAGAAGCCACTCTCAAGTAGAGATTCTTAGTCACTGTGGTGGGTCGTCACGGAAGAGGTGTGAGCGAGAGAGGGAAGTGTGTAAGAATGCAAGGCAGAGACCTCTCCGATCATCGCTGTCTGCATGATGTGAGAGCCCCTCAGACGCGATACCTGGCATGGATTCTTCCCCAGAGTAAGGAGATTCTAGTCAGGTAGACTCTCACTTGGCCGCCTTCTCATAACAAATGATGGTTCAACAAAAGGAAGGCCACTTGTACAAGGCGGGGGGAATGCTTCAATGCACCTGCCAGACCCAGGACCCAGCTGCGCACTCCCAGCTGCTTACAGCTGGATACATCACCGGAATCTGTTTGTCGCCGACAGAAGTAGCCTTGACCAAAGCTGTGGCTCTTCTGGGTGAGCCTCGTGCATCTAAGGGTAGTTCTAAGGAGGGCTGGGCCTCCTAGCCCAGTCTGAGAACAGTCCACAGGGCCATTGCAGCTCCAGAAACTCCCTGCAGGACTGCCAGGGCCTCTGTCACAGTTGTACTGGGCTTCCGCTTCCTCCTCGCCCCACCTCTGCTTTTTTGCCCCACTGACAGGTGCTGTTCTGATGAGCGTGCCCCCAGAACCCTTCCATGGGGCAGCTCACACCTGTATTCCAGAATGGCCGGGATTAGGAAACAGACACAGGGACTCAGTGCTCAGCTAGGGAAGATGGGTTGGTGGGGATGACGTTCATGTAGGGAACTGAGTCATCTCACGTGGCTTTCAGGGCTCCCAGTGTCCTTTTATTTACACTCTGTATCCTTAGCTGGCTAGGGAAGCCAGGCCTCCTGCTCCCTCCAGAAGGCAGGCTGCGTGTATTAGTGTTCCTCGGCTGCCATCCCAAATCGCCATAAATTTGGTGACTTACACCTACATAAGTGCATTCTTTCACAGCGCTGGAGGCCAGAGCCTGAAATCGGTGCTGACTACACTGTGTTCTTTCTGAAGGTTCCAGGGGAGACCGTCCTGGGCCTTTCTCTTAGCTTCTGGTGTTTCTTGGCTCATAGATGTATCACCTCTTTCTCTGTCTTCATCCTTGCATGGCCTTCTCCACTGTGTATCCCACTGTCTTTGTGACGTCTTTCCCCCACTTAAGAAGGTTATTACTATTTTTCTTTTATTTTTTATTGAAGTATCGTCGACACATAATGTTACATTAGTCTCAGGTATGGACTATAGTGATTCAATAACTAGACATTATTGGTCTTTCCTCTTCTTATAAAGACACCAGACATCATGGGTGCAGGGCCCACCATACCCCACTGTGGCCTCATCTTAACTAATGACACCCGCAACATCCCTGTTTCCAGATCAGGTCACATCCAGCGGTTCTGAGAAGGGCATGGATTTTTTTGGCGGGGGGGAGGACACCATTCCACCTAGTACACTGGGTCAGGCAGGGAGGTACAGAATATACAGATCCAAGAACCAAAAAGAAGGTGTGTGTGTGTGTGTGTGTGTGTGTGTGTGTGTGTCTTTTAAAGATTAATCATTTGAGAGAAAGAGATTGGAGGCGTAGGGGCAGATGGACACAGAAACAGTCTTCAAGCAGACACTGCTGAGTGCAGAG